CTCTAATTAATGCAAAAGTGTACATCACTGAAAATATTGGTATTATTATTAATATATCAGTTATAATATTTCTCACAATGGATCTTTCCACTCTACTATATGAATAGGCTACACACTACGCATTTTTATTGAAACTTTCTTCCCATCGCTATGGCAATTCCATTGTCTAAGTGAGGACTCTAGATCTGTTAGGACACATATGCATATATAACATAACTACAGCTACATGTCCCCAGCAAATTCCTTAGTCACTCATTTCCAAGTTACTGCTTAGAATTAAGCCGGGCTTTGGTCTTTAAAATGGCACTCAAGGCCTTGCATCGCCTATGCCAGGACAGCCGCCCACCTCCCTGTGCCCCCCAACTCTGCGCTCCAACCACAAAAACCTTCTCTCCATTCTCCCCCCAGAATGCACCCTGCTCCTCCACCAGAGGGCTCTTCCCTCTACCCTCCGCCCCAAGCATTGCCTCCTGGGGGGACGTTCCCCACGGTCAGCTCCTGCCCCACATCTGGGTGTCCCCCTTAGTACCCCAAAGCTTTTGATGTCTAGAGGGCCTTTAAAAGTGTTTGAATGAATAATACATTTCAGTTTTCAAAAATGCAAAAGGACTTGGTAACCATCTTCTTTTCATTTAATCCACTTACTTATGAAACCAATTAAGTGGTCCAAGCACTATTTCAAGAGCTGGGATAAAAGCCATCACAAGGTAGACGAGGTCCCTGCCCTCACCTGGCTTGTGCTCCAGGGGGCAGAGACAATGCATAAACAAGCAAACAAGTAAGCAAGCACTATGATTCCCATGAAGTGATGGAAGGGTAAGGTGTGCGAGCCATTTTCGCTAGGATGGGCAGGAAGGGCCTCTTTGTGGCTGTAGGTGACACTGAGCTGAGAGATGAGTGAGGAGGAGGCGGCCAGGGGAAGATCTGGGCGAGACTGAGTCAGGCAGAGGGAAGGGCAAGCTCAGGGGCCTTGCGACAGAGAGGAGCATGTCTGAGGAACGGAAGGGAAGGAAGCTCCAGGAGATGAGAGTGGAGGACAAGGAGTCAGAAGTCCGTGAGGAGGACTGGGCTCCCTTTGAAATGCAACGGGAACCATTGGAGGGTTTTGAGTAGGGGGGCTGCATGATCTGATTTATATTTTTCAAAACTCACGGTGACAGGCTTATCTGGGAATTTGGTGAAATTGCGGTTTTTGAATCTCAGCCATCACTGTGCTGCTCTACCCTGAGCTGGAGCTCAGCGTCCCAGGCCTGTCCTTGTTCCTCAGGGAAGTTTCTTTGACATCCAGCTGCTGTAACAGCTAGCTATCTGTGTTGAGTAACAATAGCCCTAAACGACCCTTTAATTTCCTCCTCTTTATGTCTGGTTGGCATAGTGTAAAAGATGTGTTGATGCACATGGACAGTAACTGAGAGGCAGTTCAATGGTGGATCATGGCACAAGGCTCTCTCTCTAGAAGCTGGGCAGCTGGAGAGAGTGGGCTTGGCACTGGGAAGTTCACTTGGGATGGAAGTGTGCAGCCTTCTCATGGTGACAGGTAACAGGTAACAGGTAGCTTGTCTTTGGAGCTCTCAACAAGCCCAGGCCCTGTCCTTCATTGGCACTTTATCCGCGGGGTCTCTGAAGGCCCAGTTCATATCCCTCAGTGCTCCTGCCTTGGTGCCACTTCCCTGGGATGTCAGTCACCCTTAGGACTTCGAACTCTTCAATCCACAAGGCCAGTTCCCTTTCCGGGGCTGCCTGAGGTAGAACTGCACCTGGTCCGCTCGTGAAAGCTGTTGCATAATGTGTTGGTGTATTCTCCTTTGTCTTATTAAAAACCAAACCCCTTTCTATAAGGTGCAGAAGGACTGAGCTCACTCAATTTTCCCACAGTCATCATAAAACGCGATATCAAAAACGCTCACACTTCATTAAATGTGACAGCTCCTTTTTGCCCCAGAGCTCTGTGAAACACACCAACCACTGAAAAAGAAGCATGTCCCTCTTTGCAGTTGGCTAGGCTGAGATCACAGATAAGGCTCTGGGTTTTGTGGAAATTTATGTCATTCCAGAGAAGTCGACGTTACTTCCATCAGCATAAAAGAGGCAGCTAATTAATTTCAGGCACGCTGCAGTGTCTTTTATGCCAAACTCTAAGCATTCGGTGTAGCCTGACGAACCAGAGTACATGTTAAGAGCTTGTTGGAGCCAATAAATGGCGTTAATTAAAAAAAAATCTATGTCAATTTCTCCACCATCTCCTCCTTTACAGGGGGAAATATATTTTCTTCTCGTGACCATCACGGAATGAGAAGGATCTCTCAAGTACCGCCCCCCCACCCCCTCTCTCTTCCAAACCTCTACAGTTTCCTCTAGCAACAGATTTACAGGACCATGTCGTCGCTCTCTGGGGTTACGAGGCCACGCTCACTGCCTCTGCTTCCTCATTCCCCCGGCCATCACACTCTGCCTCTCATCAGCCAACTGAAACCACTTTCTCTAAGTCTGAAGGGCACTTAAGACCTGCTGGTGGCTAAATAACAAGAGTTTCTCCAATTAAAAAGGAAAAAAAATCCCCACTCAAACCTCCCTCTCCACCAGCTGCCCGGTCTTTCTTTCCGCCCCTTCCTAGCTTAACTTCTTCAAAGAGTTGTTGTGCCTTCCTCTCGCCTCCCATCTCATGCACCCCCACTCTCTTCAACCCAGCCACGGGGTCATCATTCTAAAGAAACAGCTCCCCTCAGGCACCCGAAGATAAAGAGTGCTCAGTCCCCATCAGGCTTGACCTCCCAAACTGGGAGCTTAAGTGAAGAGGTGATACCCCACTCCAACCTGGAATTACTGAGACAGGGACTGACTGCTCCCCAGAACCACGTCCCCCACTCCCACTCTACTCGTAAGCTGGGCGGATGAGACAGGAAGGAGCTCTTGGCTCAGGGACTGCTGTCACATGAGGGGTGATGAAGAGACCTTGCCACAGAGACCGGGCATGGCTGCAAAAAAGGGAAGACTGACCTCTCGTTCTCCAACTGGATAAGCAAGGGACATATCATTTGCTCTGTGCCCACCGCGGTAGGGAAGAGGAAGACCGCCGAGAGATGGCAAGGCGGAAAGATGCTCGCTCCTCCACTTCTGTTTGATTCACAGAACACGGATTAAGGTCACGAGATAGAGCATCTTACCAGCACCCATGCAAAAGGGCAAGGGGATCCTAGCACTGGTTACGGTAGAGGCACTTAACCAGTCCCTCTCCCTCCTCCCCGAGCAGCACAGGAGGCACAGCTGGAACCCAGAAGAAGGAAAAGGAGGAGGAGTCCTGGGGACAGACCACCCCTCCCCCCACTTCAAGTCACTCGCCACAAGCCTGGCAAGTGATAAGCTCAGGGAAGGCATTAAATCAAACGTGATGCTATTCCCAGATATATCAAAGTAAGTAGCACATGGTAGGCTTAATAATTATTTATTGAATAAATAACTGAACAGCTTCTTCATTCTCACCCTCCTTGTCCTTTTGGCCTCATTTCATTCACTCATTCGTTCACTCCTACCACAGATGTTTGATCTTTGTCGAAGGTTAATTCTATACAACTGAATCACAGAAAGGTGATTAAGACATATTCCCTGCCCTTAGAACGTTACTAGAGAAAAATTTTAAAAGTACAAACTTGCATCTACGTCAGGGAATGACGTGAACAACAGCACTGCAGTAGTCCAAGGTACCGAAACCATTAACTCAAAAATCCAAACGACTCCCTGAAGTATACACAGACAGCTCTTCCTGATCACGTCAGATATAGAATTCTCAGGCCTGCCTTTCCCTGACTGCTGGTCCTTCATCCCTCCTGCTGGAATGCATTAACCCTTGATGTGTCGAGAGTGGCGGTGTATACGCTACCATCTATGTCTGGCATCCTGGAGAAAGCCAGAACGATCCATAGTCCTCGGGTCTGGGGTAGGCCAAGGAGATTTGCACAGCCTGGATGAGGCCCTGGAGGAAGGACAAGGTACGTACGACCCTTCATAGACCACCAAAGGTCATCCAGCATAGAGCAAATGCTGTTGGTCTCGGGTAAAGGTGATGCCGATTATGCCTGTTTCCCCTCAAGAGCATCTTACCCACAGGAAGATGGTCGTGCACGTGGAGAGCTGAACCACCTGCCCCAGAAATCACGTGTGATTTACCGAGTGTTCACTAGCAGACCCTTAGTCAGAATTAATTCACATTTAGAGCCACACGTTTGCAGAATGCACATCGCTCCTCATGATTTCTGGTTTCCTTGTAATCTTCGGCTTATGGTCCTTCAACAACAATTACTGCTTCCCACATATATTTCTGACAGGCATTTTAAAGATAATTTTTCACCACTGTTAAAATAACAGACATTTAATATAAAATCTAGAAAATACAACCAAGTTGACAGCAGAAAAAATATCACGTATACTCTTACCAATATTGTTAATATTCTGGTATATTTCCATTTAACCTGTTTGATTTAATAGCTACTCGGAATTAATATGCCCCATAAGCCAACTCTGGTAAAAATCACCAATAATAAATTAGGATATAAACTGCCATCTGTAATCTCTTTCAATTATGAACAGGCTGTATCTTTATGACTATAAAACAACCAATAGATTCAGTTTACAAAGCTTAAATTCAATAGAAGGAAAATTGGTTAAGCGAATTGGTTTCGTATGTGAATGGAAGCTGGCACTCTTCTCTACTGGACTTTCCAGATGTCCAGCCCTTGGAATACAGCTTGTCCAAGCTCTTGGTTAGCTATCGTTTCAGGTATAAACTCCTTTAAACATAATTTCCTTTGACTGTTTTAGAAGGATAATCTGGCATGATTCTGGGAGGCACAAAAAAAAACCCACAGTGCTAGTGGTGTTTTCTTAACACATATACAACTACCATTATTTATCAGGATATTAAACAAAGATTTTATTTTCAACTCAGTCTTCCCTAATAGACATATGCTATTAAATGATCTCAAAAATAAAAATGACTGGCTTACCTGATTAAGAAATCATGCAGTCCAACATCAAAATACCTGTTCGAAGGAGAGAGAGACAAACATTATCAATAGAAAACACTTATGGAGTGGTGGACTTGACAAAAAATACATAATATGCATTCAGAACGTGGTGAATAAATGGACTATTCTGTGACAGTCGTTCTCAAAGTATGGCCCCTGGAGCGGCCAGGGCAGCATTACCTGGGAACCTTCCTGGAAATGCAAATTCCCAGGCCTTGCCTCTGACATCCTGATTCAGAAATTCCGAGGATGGGCCAAGTGATGAGCCTGAACAAGACTTCCAGGTGCCTCTGGTGCAGAACCACAGCTTTATGAGGATAAAAGTGTTTCGACAAGTCTAAGCTCTCTCTCGAAATAGAGGCGCTAAGGCTGGACTTCCCGGGCACCTGCCATCCATTTTTCCAGTAGTCGAGTCCTTTTATAACACTAGCTGTCTCCAAAGTAAACGAAGTATGTTTTTAAAGCACAAAACCACGCTGGCCTAGGAGAAGAAAAGGGGCGGGGGAGGCTCAGCACTGGTTTTCCCGCTCCTCCCAGCCAAAGTCCTTGCACTTTTCAGCGAGAGAGCAGCCGTGTCCCTGTCAGGGTCTGCCCTCGCAGGGAAGGGAGCAGAGCGGCTCCCTGCACCCGCCCGTGAGCTGGAGCCTCATGCCAGGCACCCCGCAAGCCCTGGGCAGTGGGGACCCCTTGCAGCCACAGCCTCCCCTGACACCACACTGGCTTAGTACATACGAAGGGCACTCGCTGCCCTGGTGTCTCCTGTTCCCCCTGAACCTCCAGCCACTTAGACGTGCCCTTCTCTCCCTTTAGGTCTGAGTGAAAAGACTGGGTGACCAGAATCATGGCACTGCTGTCCACCAGGCTGTACTGCTACTTCTAACACCTAGATCACCTAGATGGTGGCTGTTGTGTCCCTCTCACCAGCCTGGCCTCCCAGGTTAGCAATCTGACTGAGTAAAGCCTGAGCTGATTCTGTCCCTACAAGGCAATGAGCAACGGACACAGAAATTCACCCCGGAGTGGGGCCTGACTGCTCAGGCCCTGACTCTCCCTAACTTCCAGCCCCACCCCTACCCTGTCCCATGAGCATCCAGCACCTCTGCCACCTGACACATGCAGGCACACACTAACATTAAAACAAGATTCCTTCTGGGGTATCTTTAAATGACAAGGTTCTATCATGTACTTAACCATCTGATTACAGATCACGGACATGGGGTAGGTGACGAAAGAGAAACAAAGCCAAACATAAAATTTACCATTTTTAAGGGTTCAGTTCTGTGGCATTAAGTACAGTCACGCTTTTGTGCGACCATCACTTCCATTTACCTCTAGAACTTTTTCATCTCTGCCATGGTCAAGCTCACTTAGGCTCTTTCCAAGGGTTCAGGGCTGGCCCTCTTCTGGGGTTCGGTGTCTTTAATTTCAAAACATGAGCGAACCAATGACATCTAGAAGTATGTTCTCATTAGTTTTCCTACACAGATGGAAAAGACTCCTTAGGAAGTTAGAGTAGAAATGAAATAAGTCTTTTTTTTTTTAGAATTGTATAACAGGCACTGTGCTGGGCACTCTGTGCCTTATCTCTTTAAGTCCTCGAAACCAACCCTGCAAAATAGGTCCCGATTTAATAAGGCTGCATGTCCTTTTCCCCAGCCACTTAGCTAGTAAATTGCCGAGTCAGGATCTAGCTCAGAGTACCAAATGTCACAGTCTGTGCCTATTTCCTTCATGTATTCAGCCACTGACTCATTTAACAAATATTTACCGTGGCCTACACTGTGCCAGGTAGTGGAGGTGGGTAATGCACGGCATATAACTCCTAGCATAGAAATGGCCAAGTCGACAATAATTTTAATACGGTGTGAGCAATATCAAACATTCTCTCTCTTCACAGATCGCACGCTCCGTGAAGGCAAGAGCCAGCCGCCAAGCAGATTCCCAAGGAACATCTGCTGAGCGGATTGACGTGTGAATGATGTGCTGTAATAAGGCGTCAGTGCCTCTGTCTGTTCTGGAACTTACAGAGTACACTGCAGAGACGCTCAAAAGTAGTTAATTATTACATCAGCTATTTTACGTAAATACACAAGATAAATACCCACAGATAGAAATGGGGCTTCTCTTCTGGAATAAGAATCTATCAAACTGTATCTATCAATTATTCTTATCATCTTTCTAAGAAAATAATCTCTCATGGCTACCAGCCCACAGTAAGCCAGATTTCCTCATGCGGAGACATAAGAAACAGTGATCCTGTGCATATCATTCTTGGTTCCTTCCAGAAATTAAAACTAGGAAATCTTCTATGTGTGTAGGTGATATCAAAGTTTTTGTTGTCTGAGCATCAACTGACAGCAGCAGTGGGAGGTAGTTTTCAGCTCAGTATAAAACGGAACCTTCTAATAAGTTGTAATGCCCTAACAAGGCAGTGAATTTTCCACCACGGGATGGGTTCAAGCCTGGGTTAAACGGCTGTTTAGAGGAAATCGAACCCTCAGATAGAAAACTGGAATGGATAGCCTTAAAGTTTCCGTCTAGCCCCAGGCTTCTGACTCCCTGTGCTAGTCACTTGCAGGAAGCATCACCAAGTGTGAATTCTTACTCCCACAGCAGCCGTTCTTGTCTGAAAACCATCAGCAAATTAGGGGACCGTGGCTGGGCTAATGCTTCCGTTGCAGCCCTGATCGTTTATTTATTGCTGTTATGACTGCAATTCTCGTTAGAGCCTCACAGTGCATCAAAATGAGGCTCCTTGCGCCTGATGCATGTTTATTCACCGAGCAGAGACCTGTATATCCTCGAATTTGGTCCCTGCTTTGACAGGGGTGGGCTCAGGCCCGTGCACAGCAGAACTCAGACCAGAATCCACAGTTGGTTCCGGCGCTTGTTCTGCTCTGCCGGGATGCCTGCTTCCCAGGGTCCTGGTCCTTCCTCCCTGGGTCCTGGTCCTTCCTCCCTGGGTCCTGGTCCTTCCTCCCAGGGTCCTGGTCCTTCCTCCCAGGCTGATCTTGGCTGTTTGGGAGCTAGGAATTTAAAAGGCAGTGAACTATAGCCAGAAGGTGCATGTGCCTCATACAGCCAGTGAGGTAAGTTTCTGAACAACGGTTGTCACACCCGCTTAGCTGACACACGCAGGGCAGTATTCATCTGAAGTACCAGATTCAGATCTCAGTCCTCACCTCTATTTCAACTTACGATCCTCACACTTTTTCATCTCCAGACTGTTTATCCCGTTAGTGGGCTGCCAAACTTTAGCTCTCCGATTCCTGCCTGGGAAGTTTGAAAACTGACTTAAAGAGTTGGAAGTAAAAACCAAATCAAATCACTGTGAGAATAAAGTTTATACCTAGACTCAGGAAGCCCTCGTTAGTGTGGCTGGGCTACCTAAGTTAACGCTAGACAGTGGTATAGACCTTAAAGTGTATCTGCTCTAACCTCCTTACCTAAAAAGTTAGGAAACAGAGGATAATGAAGATGAAATACTTTGAAACATAACTACACAACTAGCAGCGGAGCTAGGGCTGACACTCCGGGTCCCCCAGACCCCAGTTTTTTATTCAAAGTGTCACAGCACTGCCCTCCTCCCAGTCCCAGTCAACACCTTTATCTTCTGAGATTGCCCCGGATACAATGCTTGGAACAGGCTTCCCGATAACGTCACATAATAACGGCCACCATGTCATGCCATCTCCATCTCCACCCGTAAAAGTCGCGTGAGTATAGTCAGCAAGATGCCATCCCCTCACTTTCATAAGTTCCTTCCACAGTCCAGTCATGCTGGATCCAACCTGTACGTCCATTCGAGATTCAGAGCCTGCTGGCCGTCAGGAATAAAAAGAGATGCTCGGAAAACAGGGAAAAGTGAAAGTGAACTCGGGTCAGAAAGACACCCGTTAGCAGCCAGACTGCATTCGGGGAAATACCAAAGTCTGATGGGAAAGTAGAAAATGAGAATTATAGCCCTAGGAGGACAAATTCTGAGCAAACATGGTGAAAAATAGTGTTGGGCTTTCACAAAGGCATGATCTTCACTGCATCGGACAATTGTCTGCCATCAGATCACTGGGGAGCAAATTCTGGGAAAACAGCCCCAAAGTCTGCAGATCTGGATGGACATCTCACCGTGTCGGAGAAAGACAAGGAGAGTACCAGTGCCAGGTAGGACTGGCTCAGGGGCGAAGAGCTCTCCTGAACTACAGAGGACACCACAGCTCACTGGATGTGGAAACAGAAATTCAAGGTCTGAGCCCCTGCTCTCTCACTTATTTGACCTTTGGCCAAAAAAAAAAAAAAATCATCCCTCCATGCCTCGTTTTTCTTAACTGTGGCATGTAGGTATCATTATACCTACAGTGCAAAAAGGAACAAACGTAATGTCTACAAGTGCTTCATAAACATTCTACGAATGTTCCAGATTATTTTTCTCTCCTCTTTAGACGTTATTAAGTTCCCGAAGGCCCTTCCTCAAACTGCATTAATGTTTAGCTCTTACATTTAAGTCTGTAATCTATTTGAATTTTGTGCGTTGTGTGAGGTACGGTCTATATTCACCTTGCTTTTCATTTCTTCATGTGAAAACGTCTGCTGGACATATTTGCCAACATGGAGGTCACTGGCAGCTTGATAAGTAGAGTCTCACTGGGTGGCAGAAATGAAAGCCAGACCACATAGCCAAGTAAAAGAGCAAATGGGAGGGATGGGAAGCAGACAGTGGACATAAGTAACCCTTAGGACAAGTTTGGTTTGAAAAGAAGGAGCAAAGGTAGTAACTGCAGAAGGATGAGACAAATGAGGTTGTTTTTTGTTTATCTGGGGGGAATTTTCCACTGCGACAGGTGATGGGCACAGAAGATGGATGCAGATGCAAGCAGCAGAGGGATGAGTTTTAACAGAGAATGAGGCAAAGTCCTCAGCTGAGAGAAAAGTGGATAGAACCTAGGCTCCTCCCACTAGAAGCCAGCAGGCAATGACCTCCACAGAACATCACCTGGGGTGGATCTAAAGCGTTACTG